GGCAATTAGCGAGATATTCGCCTGTGTGAACAACGACACAATTAGCTCACTATTATCTCCGCTATTAGCGGGCTGAGCAGCGCGGTTTTTCTTGTGTGTGAACGCGCCTATTCTCATTTATCTTTGTTGTCGTCTTTCATGCTGTCAAAATAACACAATGGTGACCTGTGACACCAATTACTAAGTAACTAAATAAATGTATTGTATGGAATAGTTAGAGATACAGCTAGCCAGACAGGCAGGCGAGCAGACACACAGCTAGACAGAGGCATAGCGGCTGGCAGGCAGGCAGCAAGCTAGGAGATTAATTTCTTAGTTCCTCTCTCCAATCCGCAAGAGCTCAAGCAATATGCAGGACCTCTCATGATCGAATAGCAGTTAATATCAGTAAACCTATCTTCCTCGGTGTTACAATGCTTGCCTGCATGTAATATAATAACTAAGCAAGTATTTCATCAGCCTAACGCCTCCATGCTGTCAGGTAAAGAAAGTTTGGGCTATTCAATAAATGATCATTATGGCAGACTTTGCCTGTAGCGCATTCACTGCCACTGGTGACAGTAATCAGAGAGGATGTATAGTGCAATCACGTAAACACTCTCATCATTAAAGGCACAGCACGCACACACGCGCGCAAATGCCCACACCTGCGCGCGTGCACACACACACGCAGACGCAGACGCACTCACACACACGCACGCACGCACACACGCACGCACGCACACACACACTTATGGAAATGCCCACATGCGCGCAAATGCCCACACACGCGTGCGTGCATACACACATACACCCAAGCACACACACGCACGCAAATGCCAACACAGTGAACACACGCACCCCTGCACACGCACTCATGAAAATGCCCGCCCACACATGCATGCATGCACGCACACACACACACACACACACACGTACGCACGCACGCACGCACGCGCGCGCAGACATAGGAAGCCACACATATATAGACGCCTACACATGCACACTGACTAAGAGACACTGACACACAGATGTATCGGGAGCTAATAATGACAAAGCTTGTCATTAAGCTTGTTGTCAAAGCTTTGTCATTATTAGCCCCTGGATGTATGTATATAAACCCAAACACCCATCAAACTACAGACACAGATGGATGTACACAGTACAAACACGCACACACGTTTGCACACAAGCAAGCAGTCACACACAGACGTGATATGAATGCATTCATGTGAAGCTAGGTATACACAAGTGACGCATAGAAATATGCGGCTTAGAAAACATGTACGTTCCTTACTAATTATTACTACAACAGCCATGCATCATCTCTCACTACGTATTAAGCCAATTAAGCACAGGCTTCCCAAAGGAAAGATATATCTATTTTGCTAACGTGGTTAGCAGGGAATGTATTGCGAACGTCTAAGCGAGTGGCTATATCAAAAGAGGTAGCGCTCAAGTCATTACACAAACTATCACTGACCAGGCGTTTATATGAATGCATGCACGCACAAAATACTGATAGGTGCCACTGACTATTGAACGTTTGATCAAGGCGATAGTACTATTTCACCAAGTGTTTGCTAGTTTCTTGCTAAATCTGACGTTGTTATCAAATGGTGTTAAATCAACATTCTGTTTTCAGTTATGCCACAACCCGATTGCTATAAATTACACTACGCATGGATAGACAATATAAGTTGCCAGGAGACTACTTTCAGACGCCATCACAAAGCTTCATCAGTGTGAGATCTATTTTCACAGCTTCCGCCACCCCACAGGTGCAGTGTTGCAGACAATAATATAATAATGGGTCGCGTACGACCACTCTAGAATTGTAGGAGTTCCATATTTCTCAAACTTCCCCCAGCCTTGCAAGATCCAATTGCAAGATCCAGCGTTTTTCGTTAATACTTTTATTTTTACCTAATTGCTAAGTCTAATTAGCCCACTCTCTCAAGAAGCCCAAAGCACAAGCTAATTGATCAAAGCTGATTAGTCAGCAACGACGAGTTAACAACATATAGAACAACATTTTCTCAATGTGTCGATCAAAATCAGGGAAAGCACCCGATCAGGAATACAGCATACTGGCATTTTTATTTCCCATTATTAATTATTTAAGGTGCAAAACACAGCAGTTTTGTTTCATATTAAGTCTCTATTCCAAATGCCAGGTGTACGATAGCTACGGATTGTATAGATTTACATATGGCTGTGTTACACACACGCACGTACGCATGTGCGCCCGCACACACACACATATTAATTTATCTCACGGCAATAGCCGATAAAGTTCCCATAATACAGGCGAGTGAGGTACACTGTTACCACTGCAAACAGTATTGGTCAGATTAGCCGGCATATGTATTAACAACTCAACCTAACACAAACTCGTTGGCAATACAGGAACGCAGGGGTCGGACACCATAATATATTATTTAAAATTTTTATTATTTAATTATTCCAAACGCGCTGTACTGCGCTGTCTGTGATCGATGCACATTCTTTTTAAAACATT